AGTAAACAACAAATCAAAACAAAGGTTTCGGTTGGAGTTTTCTGATTTTTCTTGAAAAACCAATGGTTTCTTTGATTTGTTTACGGGTTGTTTGATTGTTATGTTTTGTTTTTCAGTTTTTTTTTGGGGGGGGATTTTCGGCTTCGGAAGGAAAGGATTCTAAGAGAAAGAAGGGCGGAGGAAAATCAGGAACACAAAAAAACGAAAAACCAGAAAAACAACAAAAATTCCGGAAACAAACCATTAGTTTCCCAAGAAAATATCAGTAAAAAACAATCAAAACCAAGGTTTCGGTTGGATTGTTCTGATTGTTTCTTGAAAAAACAATGTTCCCTTGCGTTTTTTACGGATTGTCTGGTTTTTTCTGGGTTTTCTGGTTTTTCTGATTTTCGGCTCGGGGCTCGACGTCCCCACGAAAGTACGAATTCAATTCATAATCGCACGAAAGCCTATCCTTTTTCTCGCTTTGCTATGCCATGCTTTGCTATGCTATGCCATGCTATGCCACGTCTACCACCTTTTTCCCCCCCTCAAGTCCTCACAGCGTTCCTTCCTGCTGGCTGGACAGATCGACGATTCCCCGGGGTTGCCCCCCTGCTCTGAAGTCGGGCCCGTCCCTCCACAGGAGGAATACTCAAAAATAGTAAGAAAGAAATGCGGGGGCGATGGTTTGACTATTTTTGATCATTTGGTAGTACTTTTCTAATATGTTGCATTTTTCTTCTAGCATCCGCCTGTAGGGGGACATGCCCGACCTAACCCTGCACCCGAGTACTGTATGGCCCCCGAGGGTCCGTTGGGTTCCGTGTGTTTGGGGTGGTTGGGGAATGCCACATGGGTTTGCTGGCTGCGCGAACGCTGCGCAGGAGCATCAGGCAGCCCAAAGAACGAATCAGGGTTGTTCGACAGGCTCGTCGGAGGAGGTTAGAAGCTAGCGAACGCTTCGTGTCTCCTTCAGCCCCACCCCTCCTTTATCCTGGGCTACCAGGGCAGATGCCGATGTGGCCGTGCAGAGCGTGTCCGGCACTCATTGGAAGTTGGAGTAGCCCTATATACGTCTCACCATCATGGTCCTACGATCATCGGCATGGGATATCCGAACATTCAAAAAAAACACTTGGGATTGGCAGGGATTGGTGTCCTTCTTGCTGTTGCCTGTATCGCGCGTGTTTCTTGTCGTGTGTGTGTGTTTCCCCGTGCGGGCACTCTGAGGGCCCCCCCCCCAGTGCTCGTAGCACTGACTGTCCGTGAGCGTGAGCTGTTTCGCGGCCACTTTGCAGTTTGCTGCGCCCGGGTCGGATATACTGAAATGGTTTGCGGCGTTGCCATGCAGTAGAATTTGGAACAACACATTCATTGTATTGATCTCTTTGGCACGATCTCGCCACCCAGTGGTCATCTCGTCGGTCATCCAGCCTATGTGCTGGAAAGCGCACGTTGGCCTAAGCTCACCGTTTGTCGGCCCATCAGCCGTTCACTTCCACGTCGGTCTTCTGCCTCAGCATCCGTTTGCCATCGATCGGTCACCGTCGTTTGCGCTTTCTATGCTGGGTCCTGCTGGGATCCCAGACCACGCCGCGATTCGGAGCTTGCATCCCAGCTGCATCGGCATTACGTGCGGCGACAAGTCTTCGCTGCGCGCGCTACTGGCGGCCGCTCACGCTAGCGCTAAGTTACGTCACGTGCATTGCCATTGGAGGCGGGCTTGGTTTATTGGGTAATCTTGGCGACTGTCGAAGGAGACCTACTCAGACACTTCAGGTGTGTTTGCAGGGGTGCAGGGCAGCGACGTGCAGCACCTGGAGGACGCCCGCAGGGGCATCCAGTGATTGTGAGGCTTCCTCGAAAACGGCCTCGCACAGCTTTCGTTGGAGGCCCATGGGTGGCGGACATCCCTTGGCATCCAGGGGCCTCCTGAGTGCGTCAGGGTTTCTCCTAGCGGTCTCCACCTTGTCCGATGACTTCCAGGGACCTCTGGGGAACCTCTGGGGACCTCCAGGGTCCCTCGCGATCCATTGGCCACAGGGATCCCCTGCGGGCCGTAGCCTCCATGGAATGGAAGTTCCCGGCGTGGGGCGCAGATCTTGTCAACTCCTTCGAGGCCCCTGGGCGTGGCAAGTGGCAGTGGTCTCTGAGAGTTTCTGGAGGCCTCGAGGGTTTCCAGGGGCATCCAGTGAGCCACAGGGAGTGTGCGGAGGCCTCCAGGGTGTCTCCGTGGGGCTTGCCCTGTCGGGGGGCGGTTCGTCCCTTGCGAGTCGAAGCCAAGGCAGCCTCGACGTACCGAATGCTTCGAGACCTCCTCTTATCTGGGGCGTTCCAAAAAGGGCCTTGCCTTCGGGGATCGGAGGAGTTGTCTTCCGCGGCGGAGGGGCGGCGGAAGTAAAACGAGGCCGCCTCCGCTGGCAGAAGCCGGCGGAAGTTCGGCGGGAGGTGGCGGAAGTAAAAGATGTGCCCCCCAAGAGATGTAAACGTTTGTGGGTCCAGGGGTTCCGAAATCGCCCATCTATGTGCGGCGATTATGGCCGCAGCATCACTCCGAGCGTTTCCTGCGCAAGCTCCTTCCAGTTGAGGCGAGCTGCAGCCCCACCCGGGCAAGCGGAAGCGCCTCGCGCTCCTCCTCCTCCTCCTCCTCCTCCTCCTCCTCCTCCTCCTCCTCCTCCTCCTCCTCCTCCCTTCTCCCTCTCTCCCGCCCGCCCTCTCTCTCTCTCCTCTCTCTCCTCCTCTCTCCTCTCCTCCTCTCCTCCTCCTCCTCCTCCTCCTCCTGCAAAGCCCTCACGGCCAGTCCCGCCAACCCAGAGAAGAGAGCAACTCAGGCGCAAGAGGCGGAAGGGGGACGAAGGCGAGCGGTCGTCTGAGCCACTCCAGGGAGGGCCCCCCCCCTTCACCTCGGGACCGGGCCCCCCGGGCACGCCCCTGCCCCCCTCCCCCCGGCGGGAAATGGATCAAAGGGGGAGGGACTTCCCTGCCGTGTTGCCTCGAGGTGGCGAACGTGGAGGGCCCCAGGTGGCCGCAGGGGAGGGGGGGCGAGCCTCGAATGGAGAAGCGTCTCCTGGGGCTACCCCAAGACAGCCACCGAAGGACTCCCTACGGAGTGCTTTTTGTCAACGGGGAGGCCTAGCTGCCACGGGCGGACGCGATTCTTAGAGACCATTTCTTTATTGCTTGGGGCATGACATGGCCCCCGCTCCCCCCCCCTATGACGTAATTAACGCTCCCCACCCCAGTGCGCTCCAGGCACTGCCGCCGTGCGCATTGGGATCCGCGTAGGAATCCGCATAGGAGTCTGGTCCGCAGTCGTCGTCGTCGTCGACGTCGTCGTCGTCGTCGCTCGTGGCTCGTGGCTCGTGGCTCGTCGTTCGTCGCTCATCGTCGCCGTGCGCGCGGACGCGGCTGGAGCCTGTTTTTTTTCCCGGGCCGATGACTGCAATCATTTTGGGGGGGAGGGGGGCGATGACGTCACGCTTCGCGCCGGCGGCGTCTGGGAATGCTTAGGAATGACGGAGGACTGGTGGCACCAGCATGTAGGTGGCGATCTGCACCACAACGCTTGTGTACACCGCAGTGCCTGCGTGCACCACACTACCTGTGTACACCACACCGCCTATGTACACCACGGCAGCCGCGTGCAACACAGCGTCAGTTTGTGCCACACCGCGCGCGGGCACAACAGCACTTGTGTACACCACAGCGCCTGCGTACACCACATCAGCCGTGTGCAACACAGCAGTGTACACCACAACGCCTGCGTGCATTGCAGTGCCTGTGTGCACCACGGCGCTTGTGTGCACCACAGCAACCGTGTGCAACACAGCACCACTGTTGTATGTAGAGTGTTAGAAGGAATCGTTATAACGCTAATGTTGAATGCATGTAGAATGCATGCATGTAGAATGTAGCATGTATGTAGAATGTATGTAGAATGTTAGAGCACCACTGGTGTATGTAGGATGTATGTATGTAAAATGTGCAGGAGAAGGAGGAAGAGAAGAGAAGAGGAGGAGGAGGAGGAGGAGGAGGAGAACGAGGTGGAAGCGGAGGAGAAGGGAAGAGGGACAAACATCGCATTCGATTCTCAGCACTTTCCTGGCGTGGCGCTTCCGCAGCAGATCCTCACGTACAGGCTCCTTCTACTTGTCCTATGCACGCAAGCACTGTGGTGTACAATAGCGCTGCGTTGCACGCGGATGCTGTGGTGTAGAAAGGCGCTGTGGCGTGCACAGGCGCCGCGGTGCACGCAAGCATTGTGATGTACACAGGCGCTGTGTTGCACATGGTTGCTGCGGTGTGCACATGTACACCGGCGCTGTAGTGTACGCAAGCACTGCAGTGTACACAAGCGCTGCGTTGCACACGGTTGTTGCGATGTACGCAGGCGCTGTGGTGTACACGCGCGCTGCGGTGCACGCGAGCGTTGTGGTGTACACAGGCGCAGTGGGGCAGATCGCCACCTACATGCTGCTCGCGTCGTCGTCGTCGTCGCTTGTCGCTTGTCGCTCGTCGCGTCGTGCGCGCGGGCGCCGCTGTGGTGCCGGAGCCACACGGCGGGGGGGGGGGGCGTTACGTCATACCCTCCCCGCCCCCTCCCCCCCATGACGCCCGTCATCGCCGAACATAAAGAAACACTCTCTTAGAAAGGGTCACATGGTGGTTTCCCCACGTGGTCCGCTGGCAAGTGTGAGTCGGGTTGAGGAGGAATTGAGATTACGCACCCGAGGCTCGTCAGGCACACAGGAATGTTCAGGAGGGGAAAAAACACACAGACACTATTAATCGTCGACTCCCATGAAAATGTGCGAAAATATAGGAGGTGGTGGGGAAGACAAAAACCCATAAAATACTGGAAAATCTAGGGAATTATATTATTTGTGTGTATAGTTATTTGTGTGTCCCTGGCCCCCTTCAGTATTTCCCCTTCCTGTGTCTCTGACCAGGCGCAGACCAGAGCGTGCCGCGCCCCATCCGCTCGCACCCAGCGGATGCGGCGCTGCGCCGACGAGGCTCCGGCCACAAGTGGAAGGGCTACAAGTTTTGGGCTCGAGCAGTTTTTCGCTGGAAGAGCACCCGCTGGGGCCGCCCAGGCCGGTCATGGGCGCCGCGCTGCGCCGGGGCACCCGTGAAGACGGTGCGCGAAGCCCGTCGGTCGGCCAGGAGAGCGGTGCTGGCGGCCCGCTGGCGACGCGGCTGCGAGAAGCTGCCGAGGAGGCGGTGCGGTGCAGCGCCGACCGCGTCCGCTTCGTGAACGACTCCGAGGAACGCTTGGACCAGTTCTCGCGGGCGCTGAACCAGGTGAAGAGGAAGCGATTCAGGGACGAGCGCCAGATTCTGGAGGCGATCGACAAGAAGGGCGAGGTGGTCCATTTTCTGCTGGACTGCGTGCGGAACCATTTCCCCAGTCGCAGACGCATTATCGAGGTCAAGGCGCTCCTCTCCGAGCACAGCCCGGCTTGGTCCAGGGCTTTCGACGACCACCGCCGGGGTTGCCCCACCTGCAAGACCGTCGACCTCACGGTCGCTCAAGCGCCGAGCCCGCCACCGGAGCCGCTGCCGTGGGTGAAGTTGCCAATCCCCTTCGTTCTGGAGCTGGTTGCTCTGTGCGGCGTGGTGATCCCGCTTCTTGTGATCCTGCAGCGCGGCAGCTGCGCCCTGCACTGGCTGCTGTTCTTGCTGGGGATCCTGCTGATGTCGCCGTTGACAGCCGTGCTCGTTCTCCGGGTGTCCCGCGGGCGTGCCTGGCTGCTGGCACATTTCGCCCCTGGGCAGTACGTGCTCGCGAAGGCACGCCACCGGCCGCTGCCCTGTGCCTGGCGTCCGTCGCGGTGGTTCTGCTGGCACGAGTCCGAGGAGGCCCTGGTCGAGACAGATGCGGCCCGCCCCGCTCCGCGGTCGCTGCACTCCTACGGCTTCTGGATGACGAGGCCGGCCAATGATATCCAGGCCTCCCGAATGGTGTCCGAGTAGATGGGGTCGGGGGATCGCGCTGCATCGCCGACGCATCGGCGATGCGGCTGTATGTGGGGACCCATTTTCTCTACACTGACGACGCCGATGCGTCGGCGATGCAGCCCGATCCCCCGACCCCATCTATACTCGGACCCCTTCGGGGAGTTCTCTAGGAGACGACACCGCAGTCCACCGCCGAGGTCACCAGTTCTTGCTCTCTGTCGTCGTCGTCGCCCTCCCTCCTCCTCCGCGAGGTTCCACGCTCACGAATCACGCAGGGATCACGATGGCTTCCCAGGCTCTGGCCCAACCGCCGTGCTCTCGTGTGGCCGTCCTTCTGAATGCACCCTCAGTCGTCGTCGTCGTCAGCGCCGGCGTCGTCGTCGTCGTCGTTCTCTGCGGCGGCGGCGGCGTCGTCGGCGTCGTCGTCGGCGGCGGCGTCGGCGTCGCATCGATCTGTGAGGGTCCTGGGGCCCCACTCAGAAGCCGGGCGAAGGCTGACAAACCCATGGCTGCTAAAACGGAGCTCCGGGAAATTGTTCTTTTCTTCCGGGAAGCAGCCCGCTTACTAGCTACGTATAACGCGCTGAGCTTTCTTCCGGGATTTGCTTTTTTTATGTATTCCGGCAATGCTGCTTTCGCAGCCACGGATTTGCCAGCCCTCGCCCAGCTCCTGACCCACACAGCTGGGCGCAGGGGCCCTGCCCTCCGAGCGCGCGCAGCAAGACTGACCTCAAATCCGAGCCTTGAGCCAAAATGGCTATGGATCCTCCGCCTCCTCCTCCTCCTCCTCCTCCTCCTCCTCCTCCTCCCCTCCTCCTCCTCCTCCTCCTCCTCCTCCTCCTCCTCCTCCTCCTCCCCCTCCTCCTCCTCCTCCTCCTCCTCCTCCTCCTCCTCCTCCTCCTCCTCCTCCTCCTCCTCCTCCTCCTCCTCCTCCTCCCCCTCCGGCTTGAAGAGGTCGCGGCGCCGGGGTCTCGGGGTGCGTGTCGTCGCCTCGCCCTGCCGAGGTCACCGTGCTGCCGGCCGCGGCGCCCGCCGCGGGCCCCCGCGGCTCTGCCTCGGGCCAGCAGGCGCGGGAGGGGCGAGGCGAACACGGACAGGCCCAGGGAGGCGTCGATTCCTCGGGAAGAACGGGGAGATATGGGGAGGAGGAGGAGGAGGAGGAGGAGGAGGAGGAGGAGGAGGAGGAGGAGGAGGGGGGAGGAGGAGGAGGAGGAGGAGGAGGAGGAGGAGGAGGAGGAGGAGGAGGAGGAGGAGGAGGAGGAGGAGGAGGAGGAGGAGGAGGAGGGGGGGGAGGAGGAGGGGGGGGGAGGAGAGGAGGAGGAGGAGGAGGAGGAGGAGGAGGAGGAGGAGGAGGAGGAGGAGGAGGAGAGGAGGAGGAGGAGGAGGAGGAGGAGGAGGAGGAGGAGGAGGAGGAGGAGGAGGAGGAGGAGGAGGAGGAGGAGGAGGGAGGAGGAGGAGGAGGAGGAGGAGGAGGAGGAGGAGGAGGAGGAGGAGGAGGAGGAGGAGGAGGAGGAGGAGGAGGAGGAGGAGGAGGAGGAGGAGGAGGAGGAGGAGGAGGAGGAGGAGGAGGAGGAGGAGGAGGAGGAGGAGGAGGAGGAGGAGGAGGAGGAGGAGGAGGAGGGGGAGGAGGAGGGGGAGGAGGAGGAGGAGGAGGGAGGAGGAGGAGGAGGAGGAGGAGGAGGAGGAGGAGGAGGAGGAGGAGGAGGAGGAGGGGAGGAGGAGGAGGAGGAGGAGGAGGAGGAGGAGGAGGAGGAGGAGGAGGAGGGAGGAGGAGGAGGAGGAGGAGGAGGAGGAGGAGGAGGAGGAGGGGAGGAGGAGGAGGAGGAGGAGGAGGAGGAGGAGGAGGAGGAGGAGGGGGAGGAGGAGGAGGAGGAGGAGGAGGAGGAGGAGGAGGAGGAGGAGGAGGAGGAGGAGGAGGAGGAGGAGGAGGAGGAGGAGGAGGAGGAGGAGGAGGAGGAGGAGGAGGAGGAGGAGGAGGAGGAGGGGAGGAGGAGGAGGAGGAGGAGGAGGAGGAGGAGGAGGAGGAGGTAGACGACGCTCCAGAAGATGTGGAACATGTGGGGATTCCTGGGATTTGTGTCCATTTGTTTGTGTGTCCCTGGGTTCCTTTATCACTGCCTCCCAAGGCCTCCTGGCGTCGCCGAAGCGTGAGAGGGGCGGGGCTGGGGGAGTGGAGCGGCGTAACTCCCCCTCGACCTCGTCCCCCCTTCAGGGTCTCCAGGCAATCGGGCGTGGCGGGGATCTAGGCCTCCCAGATGGGGCTCGAGTGTCACAAGCATGCACTGTTCATTAAAACATCGAGGAACCTTCGCCCCATGCTTGCGAGTGACCTTCGTCCGATGTTTCTGTGCAGTTTCACTTCGGGTGAGGAGCTCCCAGAAGGCGAAAGCTCCTTGCGCTGGGCACACAGATCACTTCAGCATCCGTTTAGGCTTGATTGTCCTTTCGATGGAGGGCTCTGGTGTTCGGCACGTTCCTCAGGCCTGGGTCGCCGTGGTCAGACAAGCCGTGGTCAGACAAGCCACTTCGTTCCTTATTCGCATTCCTTCTGGTAGTACCTCGACTGTCTTAGCTGCCTCGATGCGTTCGTTTTGATAACTGCGCAGCACGTGCTGTGCTCAAAGTGTCCGTGCCAATACTCTGCGTGTCGGCTCCACGTTTTGGCCGGCGTATCTGCAGATCTCGCGTCAGACTTGCTTCGTCGGTCTACGTGTCGAGATCTGTGCCAACACGCTACGTGCTGCGTTCTGCGTACCGGGGCAGCTAAGGTTGCTTCTGTCGAAGAAGAAAGAAACACATGATACCAGAGAAAAACCCAAATCAGAATTTGGGGCGGGCTATGGGGCTTTAGGGCTTTAGGGCTATGGGGCTATGGGGCTATAGGGCGATGTGGCCATAGGGATATAGGGCTAGAAGCCGTTAGGGCTATGGGGCTATAGGGCTACAGGGCTATACGGCTATAGGGCTAAGGGCTATAAGGATATTCGGGCTATAGGGCTATATTTAGGACCATAGGGCTATAGGGCTATAGGGCTATAGGGCTATAGGGTAATAGGGCTATAGGGCTATAGGGCTATAGGGCTATGGGGCTATTGGGCTATTGGGCTATTGGGCTATTGGGCTATAGGGCTATCGGAGGTGAGGGGTGAGATCGAAGTGGAACGGCGAGCCCCCCACCGGGAAATCGGTTTCGGTTTCGTGTTCGTGCGTGCCGTGCGTGCGAGGCGAAGCTGCGTGGGCGGGCGAGAAAAACAGTCTCCTGTGGCTGAGGCGCGGCCGGACCAAATGTTTCTCTTCCGGGGCGCGGGGCCCCGCGGTGTCCCGCCGGTGTCCCGCGGTGTCCTCCTGTGGCTCAAATGTTTCTCATCCGGGGCGCGGGGCCCCGCGGTGTCCCGCCGGTGTCCCGCGGTGTCCCGCGGTGTCCCGCGGTGCCCCGCGGTGTCCCGCGGTGTCCCGCCCGTGTCCCGCGGTGTCCCGCGAGGATGATGATGATGATGATGATGATGATGATGATGATGATGAGATGATGATGATGATGATGATGATGATGATGATGAGATGATGATGGTGTCCCGATGAAGATGATGATAATGTTGATGATGGTGTCGATGATGATGATAGTGTCCCGATGATGAGGATGATGATGCTCATGATGATTATGTTGATTATGATGACGACGATGGTGTACCGATGATGATGATGATGATGATGATGATGATTCCGATGATGTTGGTGATGACGATGTTGATGGAAATGGTGTCCCGGCGATAATGATGTTGATGGTGATGATGTTGATGATTATGGTGTCCCGATGATGATGCTGATGATGATGATGGTGATGATGATGATGGTGATGCTGATGGTGTCCCGATGATGATAATAATGATAATGACGATGTTGATGATGATGTTGCTCATGATGATGGTGCCCCAATGATGATGGTGCTGATGATGATGTCGATGATGATGATGCAATGATCATGATGATGGTGTCCCGAGGATGATGACGATGCTGATGATAATGTTGATGATGGGAACGATGGTGATCATGATGGTGTCCCGATTATGATGATGATTCTGATGATGCTGCTGATGATTATGACGATGACTGTGTCCCGATGATGATGATGATGATGATGATGATGATGTTGATGTTGATGATGAGATGATGATGGTGATGATGATGATGTTGTATCGATGATGATGCTGACGTTGATGCTGATGTTTATGATGATGATGATGATGATGATGATGATGACGGTGCCCTCATGATGATGACGATGTTGGTGATGATGTTGATGTTGTTGATGTTGATGATGAGGAGGATGATGATGATGATGATGATGACGTTGATTGTGAGAGCGAATGAGATGTCGATAGTGAGATCGATATTGAGACCGAATGTGAGATCGATTGTGTGATCGATTGTGAGTTCAATTGTGAGATCGATCGAATGAGATAGATCGAGTGAGATCGATTGTGAGATCGATCGAGTGAGATCGATCGAGCGAGACCGATAGTGAGATCGATACTGAGATCGATAGTGAGACCGATCGAGTGAGACGTTGGTTCCCCCCCCCGAACCTCCTTATCACCCGAAGGGTGGTCGTATAGGTAGGGCTATAGGGCTATAGGGTTATAGTGCTATAGGGATATATGGCGATTGGGCTATTGGGCTATATACTGAGATGCATCCTTGGTTTGTTAAGGTTTATAGTGTTTAGCTAAAGTTTAGCGGACTTATAAAGTTTATCAGCAGTTATCCAAAACAGAGTTATAAACTTTATAAACTTTAGCGTTCGCTTTAACAAGCCATAAAAATGCGATGCTATCAGAAGTTCTTGTGTTACTTCTCGCAGCAGCTTGCACTACGCAGGTTGCACCGCATACTACATAAGTTGTTGCACCGCTTAGCATGCGCCACATAGGTTGTACCATAGCACATAATACGCCACATAGGTTGCATCCACATAGGTTACACCGCATACATAGGGGCGGGCGCGTAACACCAGGTCCGCCGCCGAATGTCGCCTCTGCATCTCCATCTGTCGTCGTGGTCGTCGTCAGGGCCCCGCGGTTTCAGCATGCCGCTTTGGGGTGGAGGAGGAGGACAGCAGCAGCAGGCGCCTGCAGGAGGAGGATGCAGAAGGAGCAAGAAGGATGATGATGAGGAGGAGGAGGAGCGGAGCAGAAGACCCACCACCCCTCATTTCTCATCTGCATTCAGCCGCAATGGCTTTAATGCGCAGACATCGTTTCTGGATGGGCTGTGCGGTGGGGCTACGCGAAGCGTATGCGATTTTTTCTCCCGAGCGCAAAGCGCCAGCAAATCCCATCATGAAAACTCCAATGGCAGGATAGTGCCGACGGTGCCGTCTGCGTACGCGCAGTGTTCTACTGCAGCCAAAATGGCTTTGGTCTCCCAACACTCCACTGGAGTCGCAGAAAGTTTCCACACTGCCTTTGCAGTACCAGGGATGCGCCGCGAAAGCTCCATAACCTCCATCATAGAAACAGCTTCTCCACTGACCTCGAAATGCAACTTCACGCGGGCGGCAAGTATGCCGTCGGAGCCGTTCAAAAGCACAGCGTCCCTTTGCGCGCATAAGCCGAGCTGGCTAAAGCGAGAATCTTTACCCACATTCACTTGGATATCATCACCTTCCAAACCCAATGCGTCCAAGATCAGCTGCCTGCTCTTCTTGGGCGCCTTGCGGCCCTGCAACAAGCCGACGCCATAATTGAAACTGTGGCTCGTTATTGCTGACAGGTGATGGGCAACGCATTCGCTCAGCAACGACTTGCTGGCTGACCCAGAGATGTTCGCCAGTTCGGTGGCGTATCTCTTTGGCATTCTATGCTTCCTCTCAAGGACGAAGCAGTTCAAGAGCCTCCCGTTTCTTTCGAGTAGCTCAGGGAGGTGGAGAAGCCAATGGCATTTTGGTGTCAGGGACTCATATCCAAAAGCAGCAGTGAAATATTCCAAGAACTTATGAACGCAACCTAGAAGCCTCGCTGGGCTCACGTCGATCCGACTGGTTGCAACTACCAGCTGCGACAGCTGAACG